ATACCTTGACATTTTTCTGTCCTTGTTTTTCAGCTGTTTGACTATGATAAGTCTAAGGGTGATTTCCTGGGTGTCTACCTTGCTTAGGGCTTCTGACTCTGTGAACCTGTGCCTTGGTATCCTGCATTAGCTTTGTAAAATTTCCTTTACAAATATTGCCAGTCCTTATCCTCACTCTCTTCTCTTTGGGGGACTCCGGGTATAGGGATCTTAGCCCTCTGCATTGTTTTCTGCATGCTTCTTAGGCTTTATTTTGATTCTCTACTCATTTCTTTTCTGAGCTATAGTTTAGATATTTTCTACTCATTTAGCCTCAAATTCAATTTATTAACTTTAGATATTATATTTTGTAGTTCAAGAATGTCTATTTGATTCATTTCTATAATGAATCAAATGAATAATGAATAATACATTTCTAGTAATTTTTATTATAGATTAGATATTTAATTGAAAAGGATTTTGTAGACTTCAAATAACACCTTCCACTAGGAAGAGCTTCCCATTTCTCAGGTTAGTTTGATCAGTATGGGGTTGGCCACCTTGATCTAATTAGAGCTGAGTCGGAATGAGGCTGGGTTTCAGTTTTAGAAAAATTCATTTCTTTCACCTCTGTTTCCTCTCCATATCTTTCTGAACTTTTGATTGACGGGCTAGCAGTTCACTATCTTCTGTATCTTAAAATGCTGGGGAAAATTCAGTCTCAGGCTTCAGAAGTTTAGAGTTCTGCCCCTTCCAAATTTGGTATTTGTTTTGAGGAAGAGAACAGGGATGTGTTTGAGGTGAGCCACACTCTTCAAGAAGGAAAATTTCTTCTAAATATTGTGGGATCAACAGAGATTGTACCCCATTTTATCAAAGTTCCGTAGCCTTTCATATAGCCTTACAATTTTGAAAATGACCCATAGGCAAAGCCAGCTTGTGCATTAAAGGCTCCTGAAGTTTCCAAATTTTTATGCCAGCTCTGCACAACTTCCAAAAGCTTTGCTTATTTCTCTCTCTTCTAACAAATCCCCTGTGTTCACTAGTTCTGATCCTCAACCAAATCAAAACCAGCACATGAACCCAGAGGGAGAAAAATAGCCAATAGCTGACTAGTCTTATTAGAAGTATTTTCTCTTCTCCAGAATTTTAGCTCATTTAGTTTTATTTGCTTCTTCAGCACTCTATTATTTTTAAGAAACACAATTTTTGCAATTTATCTGGATCATTTAATTGTTAACAATAAAATTGCTAAGATGCCTACTAAAATCTTGTAGAACCATATATTTAAAGCCATTCTCATATTTCTCTCTTATTTTCATTTTATTTATGGCGAAAGAATTGTTTTGTCATTGTTATCCATCATTTTCTTCATGTCTTCTGAAGTTTTGGTTTGCAGATTAATCTTGATAAGAATCTTCCTCCATCACCAACCCCCATCATCTCATATCTAGTGATTTTGCAGCTACCTCTTTCTCTGCTTCTGGGGACCCACAGACAAGAACTATGTTTTGTATCACTGGTGTAGGGGTTCTTATTTCCCTAATAATAATGACCCAGCAAGAGGCATTTCTTAAGTCTTGATTGTAAACTTCTCCTTGGTCTCCAAGACAATGTGGACAACTCCAGTTTTCTATGATGAGCGGGAAGGTTTATCTCAGTGTCTGCTTCCAGACAGAGACATTAGCTCTGTCCTGGTTTCGTGTGTGTGTGTGTGTGTTTGAAGGGGATGTATTAAGTATTTCCTACTTTTGTCTTCTTCTAGACCTGAGATTCTATCTTGTCCCTGTCTTGCTCCCTCTTATTTGTATTTCTATTCTTTTATTGTTCTACGGAAATGTCAATCATGCTTTCAAAGATAGCTTTACCTTTTAAATTTTTATATTTTGCCCGTCATAGCTGCATGTTTAATTTGAGAGGCAAGAGCCTGGTTCAAAGCAAAACATTGCAATGTAATTCCTTTCACTGACTATTTTTGTAGTCAATTTTTTAATTTAATGGCTAAGGGACACAATCTTCCTTTGCACCCAGTAGAACAACACCTCTCACTGTCCCTGTTGTGTACTGGACCCACCACCTTTTCAGAAAGTAGTTTTGAATTTTAAAAATGCATAGTTAATAAAAAATGGATAATTAACAAAACTTTTCATAGAATTCCTGAGTAAGAGAAATGAGATTTAAATAAAATCTCTATGTGCTCTAAACCTACGATGTAGCACATCTAACACATGTTACTTATCAAGCATTGAACCAGCTCTTTCTCATTGCTATGAACTGTTCTCATTGCTATGAACAGTAAAAAGCCGAAGTCCCTAAGCAAGTCTAGCTTTCTTTTTGTTTATGATCAGGTAGTAAAAATACTCAGAGTGAAGAGGTAGCTTAGTGGTAGAGTTTTTGCTTGGCATATACAAGGGCCTGGGCTCAACTGCCAGCACTGAAAAACAAACAAACAAATTCAAATATTCTTAGTTTTTCTGTCTGGCCTTGGATCTCTTGTCTTCCATTCATCAAACACTTATGGAACACAGCTCCATGATTCAAATGTGTCTCCTTGGTACGCTGGAAGACAGACCCTAGGCAGCGTCCATACGGGTACTTTTCAAATTTCCCTTAAAATGTCCCTCCTATTTTCTTGGATATTTAAAATGCCCACAGTTATTCTCTTTTTGGAAAAATGTATTTTGTTATAATCAAGATCTTACTGGATTTTCTTTTTGAAAAGTTCAATAGCTTTAATACCTCAGATAAAGCAAATGTGGCCCTGATTTCAGTGGCACAGAAGTGAGCATGGGAAGGTCCTGTCTAGGATGTTTTAAAGAACTATGAAGATGCCCTGGCTGGCTGGAAGATGGTGAGAAGGCACAATGAAATGTGACAGTCAATAGAAAAAAGAGCTAGGTTGAAAAGGGGGAAGATTCTAAAATGAAAAGCTGAGGAAACATTACATGTCTGCAAAGGAAGGATTCCGACCTGAAACGTCTGAAGACAACCTCTGGTATGTTCCACTATGTGTACGGAGATTCTGCGCAATTAGGGAAGTCAGAGAGAACCTACCAAAGTGGGCCCAGGAGTGGGTGGAATCTGTGTGTGCTCACCTGCAAGGAAGTGGGTAAGCAAGCATGAGGCATACAAGGCCTGTGGAAACTTGAACTTGGCTATCAGTAACATAGCTCATAACATGCAGTGCTTTGGAGTGGCCCTCCAGGAACTCAGATCAAGCTGTTCTCACCAAGTTACAGGACCCAGAAAGAGTGAAAATTAAAACCAATCTTCCACCATGATAAAGAAAATGGCATATGACCACACATTGTGTCCCCACAACTAAAAAACAAACTACCAAAAAAAAATAGAACATACAATAAAGTATTCTTATTTATGTAATAACATCAAATACCTGCATGTTTGCAAATAGCCAGAGTTGGGGATCCTGTAGAATAATGATATCAGCTGCCATTTCTTGAACTATTATATTACTAGGTGCCAGGGATAAAAAAAAATCTCATTTGACCATCATCTTTTATTTAAAACCATTATTATGGCTAATAACAATATTGTTATTATTTTTATTATCTTTTATTATTATGTTTTATATATATGAGGAACCAGAAATGGAATTGGATTTTCTTAGTTGGTCCATAATCACACAATTTAGGAGTGGTTCATCCAGTACTCAAACCTGAACTTGGTTTTCTTTTGAATACACTGTTATTCCTTTAAAATAGCTAGCTATTTCACTGATTTTTTAATGAACCGATAACTGGATGAGCGCATTATCTTCTACAGTTTTAAAAACGGGTTACTGAGTGGTGATCTTAATTGTTTTCTGTGTCTGTAGATACTTCACTGAATTCTAGATTATAATGATCTGGGAGTCAAGCAGGGTCTCTTCTGTCTGTGTCGCATGACAGCCAGCACAAAGCTGTGCTGCACTGAACTCACTCAAGTTGCTCAAATTTGGTCAAGGGATGTGGACAAAATGCCCACCATTGCAGACTAACTCACTCAGTTTAGGGTTATGACTCATTTGCTTGTAACTTTTCTTTTCTTTTCTTTCTGGGCCATTATTCGTTGAACTTTTATAATTTGTTACTTATTGAAGCTCCTCTATGCCAGGTATGGCTCAGGGATACAAAGCAAACTAAGACATGGTTTTCACCTTTAGTAAAGTCATAGAGTAACTGGAGAAACAGTCATATAAAGGAGTTCCAATGCAAAGTATGTGCTACAAGAGGCACAGCCAGTCTTCTGTCAAGCACAGAGGCACATCTATATCACTGCATCTGGGTGGGACCGAGAGATCTCCCTAAAAGATGGCCATTGTGGAGCCAATGCGTCTAAGAAGGCCCTTGTAGCAGAGCCGGCAGCACACTCCAGACTTTGGAAGTGCAAACATGGTGCCTCTTAGGAAGAGAAAGAAATTCACGGTGATGATGAGGCTGAGAAACAAGGAGGGGACACATTATGAAGGGCTATGAAATGTGGATATTTATGGCTATAAAATAAAGCTAATGAGATTGGGGAATTCTCATCTCCAAATGGTCCTAGCTGACAGGAAGCTCTAGCATTACTTCTTTCCCATCCTGGAGGATCCCAAATTTTCTTGCTTGGGAAATCCCCTCCCATGACATATCTCCACCCATCCACAGCTAAAGGCACCCCTCCTCTCTGGAGACTTGTCTGTCAACATGTGGGAATGAGGCAGTTGGGGCTGCAGCCTGCATCTCCCCAGGCTGGGGCTAGGCCAGGTGAGGGCAGCCACCAGTGATGGTCTCCACTGGGCTCATCCAGCAAATGGTTTTCTCCAGGCCTAATTAAGGATGACTTGATGTCTATAAGCCTACACTTAAGTCTTTGTTGGCTTGCTATTGTTTCCAGCGAGCATGACAAGGCCTAGGAGGTTTATTCTGCTTGTGTTAGCCCAGAGCCAAAGGCAAAAGGAAAAAAAAAAATCACTACTTTCATTCACTAAACATGCCCATTTACTTGTTTTTCTATTTTATTGCATTAGTCATTGCTATAAACCCAGCGTGGTCTCCTCTCTTTTTTCTTTTATGATTATAATATTCCAAAGCCAGGTAGGCACTCAAACCACAAGACAGACCTGTAACACGTATTTCAGAGAGGGCAGTTAAAACTCCAGACAGCTTCAGAGACTCCCAAACTCTGGAAACCCTTTTCTCTTCACTCTACAGAATCCCTGTGAGGAATAGGCACAATAGGTGGCATCAGTTATTGTTTCATTGTCTGATATCGACCACATCGTTTCTTTCTTTATTCCAAAAATTAGAGTTGTCAGATTTACCAAATAAAAAAATGTAAGACACTCAGATAAAATCTTAATTTCAGATACATAATAAATACTTTTTGCATAAACGTGCCTCATACAATTTTAGGAACAGATATATACTAAAATATTGTTGTATCCGCCGCCTGCCTTGCAAGCACAAGGACCTGAGTTCGATCCCTGGTACTAAAAAAAAAAAGAAAAAAAAATTGTAGCATCTGACAACCCTATAAATAAATACGTAGTGGTACGTCAGTGCTGAGCACTGTGCGGGGTGCTGAGGAGTCGACAAGAACCAGGACCGCCTTTCCCCTCAAGTGTACACCAGCTGGAGAAGGTGGAGATTGGTAAAGAATGAATTTAAACCCAATACTGACAAGAGATCACCCAAATCTACTCATCCAGACACTCACACAGACACAATTATAGACAAATCTCTTTTATGAATAAGAATATAAATTATGGAGTGAGCCAATTAAAATGTTAGCACATGAAAAATATTTAGGAGTGGGGGAGGGAGAGAGGGCGGGGGAGAAGGAGAAGAGAGAGAAAATAATTTGTTTCAGTCAGTTAAGATTCCACCCTAGAAGGCAATAGAAATTTTAAGATTATAGGGGCCGGGGATTTAGCTCAGTCGTTTCGCCACCTGCTGCGCAAGCGCAAGGACCGGAGTTCAATCCCCGGTACCAAAAAAAAAAAAAAAAAGAAGTTTTAACATTATAAATATCTACTAAATATCTATATCATGTTATTATGTCAATAAAAAGCTGATAATGTCATCATGCATTGAAAGATATTTAACCAAGTGAATATTCATTCCCATTTAAAAGAAATCACTGAGTAAAAGCAGGAATACTGTATATACACAAGCCCTTAAGACGAAAAAACACAGAAATAATGTTTATATTTAAATATAAGAACGATAATAAAAAGGCCTTAGAAAAGTAGTAATAGACAAATACCTCCTGTATGTATTTGTGTCCTAAACCAAAAGTCTGAATCATGCTTACTAATAAATAAATAGTAGAAAATTTTCTTTAAATCCAGGAAGGAAACATTGACAGTTATTATCACAATTATTTAATATAGTACATCTTAACCATTACAATTAGACAAAAGAAAGAAATAAAAAATATTTATGAGGAAATGGCAATTTGTTATTTAGATGCCCAGAAAATCTAAGACAATTTAAAACTACAGTGGTACGTCAGTTCATGGACTTAATTCTTTCCACAATTCTGGTCTCAAATCAAATTGGACAAGAACTGAATCAAATTTTCCCATAAAGTCAACAGTGAACTTAACCATTGAATTTGATTTAATTGAGAAAAAATGCAATCAGTATAGAAGGAAAAATCCAATAGAATATTTATTAACAAATGAATGTGCAAAAATCAACACTCATTTCTGTAGAGAAGCAAGAATCAGAAAATAGAATTAAAATCCCATTAATAGTGGCAACCAAATATATTCTAACTATGCATAAAACTAGTTAGCATACATGTAGATCTTAAGTGAAGAAAACTCTAAACCTGAGAGTCACAAAAATAATTACAAATCAATTTTCTCAAAATGATATATAAATACAAACTTAATTAAAGTAACCAGAACAGGTGTTGCTGTTGTTGGGAGTATTTTTGAAACCTGACAGTATTATGTGAAATTCACATAAAAAACATCTGAAACTTCCGAAAGTGAAAACAATGACAACAGACTACTTTTGCAAGGTATTAAAATGTATTCTGCAGTAACAATAAATAAAATACTTTGAACTTGGAGAAAATAAATGCAAAAGAGAAAAATCAATGAAATGGGATGGAGAGAATAGAATTAGGCAAATACATATGAGTACTAAATATAAGATAAAATAGCATTTAAAATCAATGGGAGAGAGATTATTTTTAAAAATGGATTTGGGAGAAGCTGGGAAAATAAGCTGGATGATTCTTTTAAACAAAAGTTATTACAGTTCGATTGAAGATTTAAACATGTGAAAAAGCCACATAAATTTTAGAAAAGAACAAGTATAAGAAGCTTTTGTAAAGTAGATTCAGAAACTATGAAATAATAAAATAATTTGGTGATTTAAAAATTTAAAAATATCTGTAAGCAAAATTCTATACAGAAAGTGAAAAGACAAAAAAACTGAGAAAAAATATTTGTTACATATATCACAAAGGGATAGGTTTTTAATTAACAAAAAGCTCCTAAAAAACCATAAGTAAAAAGAATAACAATCTAATAAAAAATGTAAAGCTTGTGAACAGAGGACTAATAGAAAAAGAATGAACAATTTCTGTCATTAGGTAAAACAATTCTCTCATTTAATAATTTTTATAAAATGTGAATCTATAATTTGTAATGTTTTAGATTTATCAAGTGGGCAGCATTTAAAGGTTTTGATGTTCTAGTGCTGGCAGTTGAGTGGGAAATCAACTTTATTCACTATTGGTGGGCATGTAAGTTCGTGTAACCTTTCAAAAGGCCAATTTGAGGATATCCACAAGAACTAGAAATGCATGCTTGTTCCCTCTACTAAGAGCAGGAGAAAGAATTTATTTTTTGAGATATGTATGTACTTTAATAAAAAATATCATAATAGATTTACCAGTTTATTTACTGAAGTATTGTTTGTAACCTTAGGGGATAAAAGCACAAATAAGATGTCTATCCATAAAAGGACTCGCTAAAATTTTTATGATATTTCCAGATGATGAGCAAACATGAACCCAGTGCAAGGAATAAGTGATAGGCTGCGTGCTGATGTGGAAAGAGTTCTAGAGAAGTGGATGAGAATGAAAATGTCATGTAACCATGAGTATATATTATAGTCTCCTGTGGAAAAATATGTATGTTTTACACCTGTGTAATATATAAAAAAAACCATAATGCAAGAATATGTAAGCTCTGTGTATATGCTACATAGAAAATAAATCATAAATACTGAAACATGAATACATTTTTGTAGGAACAAAAGAGAGATATAGAGATACAGAGATATAGAGCTAGAGCAGGGGCTGATGCTCCATTTCCTGCCTCTCTCCACACGTTGAATTTCCTAGTTCTGCATGTGTATTGCTTTCTATTTTTCCCCTATGCTAACTGAAGTTATGTGGGATGAGAAGTTACTTTTTGTTTCCTTTTTCAAAAATGTTACCTCTAGTTTTACAATCTGATAAATTGTTCTTAAGATGCAATGTGATGACAGCAGTCAGTGTGGTGTTCAAAGGGGTGATTTTCCTGCTTCTTTACCACCTTGGTGCTACTGGGCTCCTGACCTGTTCTTTGGTTCCTCTTGTCTTTCTCTTCCCAGTTGCCTGCCCTCCACACCACTCATGTCCTCTGAGGCAGGTAACATGGTGACTCTGAAGTTGAGGAGGGCTCTGTATCAATTCCATGCTATTACCTGCTGGCTGACGACCCCACTTCACTTCTCCAGGCCTGGGTAGCTTCAACTGCAAAGTGGGTCTATTAATGCCATCTCCTAGGATTTGCTGGAGTTACTGAATGAAATAACATGTCCTCAGTAAGTGATCAAGACACACTAATTTTTCTTTGCTTTTTATTTTCCTTTTCCTTATGGTGGTAGAAAAGGGGCAGTAAGGCTATTACTGTGTCACCTTCCATGGTAACACTTAGAGCTATGACATAGCTTAGCAATGATAGTTTTCAGCTTCATCACGTCCCGATGTGTAGGAGTTAATTCCTTAACCAGTTCCCCCATGATGAGTCATTCAACCTCAGGGAGTGTCCCAGCCCAGGGGCTGATGGATTTCCCTAGAGGCTCTCCTGGAGTGAGCCTGGTCTTTGGCAATCCTTATTTCTTCATCCCTTGATCTACAAGACACACGCCTATGACCAGGAGGTCTCTGGGCGAAGGCATCCAAACAGAAAAGAGCCATGAAAGTTCAATCAGACCTAGCGGATATAGTTGTAACTCTTCAGAAAGCATAGAGCCTGGAAACCTAAGTTCTCTATTAAGGAGCTCCACCAGCCCCGGCCTCATGCAGCAGGAGACAGTCCATGGTCCTTGTTTTGATTCTCCTACCAGAACTGCATGGCCAGATCTTCTGTCCTCCTTCACATTTGAGAGAATTTAACCTGCTTTTTTTTTGCTTTGGAATTTTACAATCTTCCTTTAAGATGAGCAAAATAAATTCATATTTTTAAAGGCTGTGCTTCTAAACAATGAAAGAAAATGAAGATGAACTGTCAGATGGTGACAGGCACAGCCTCTTCACTCCTGAATCAGACCCCCAGTCTGTCTCCAAGATGAACAGTCAGAATTTGAATCCCTGGCTCTGGCTTCCTCACAAGTGATGGTGCCTATTAACATAATAGGTTGGCATCACAGGTAATGAATTAAAAGTGAATTCTAAGTGAATGCAATTCAAATCCAGACTCAGCCACTCACTAGTTGCATGATTCTGTCCAATTATTCATTATGGCCTGGTTTATTCATCTAGAAAATGAGATCAATAGTGGCTCCTACCTCATATAGTTCTTGTGAGAATTGAATTAGAGTAGCCCTCTGTATTCACAAGTTTTGCATCCTGGCATTCAACCAAACTTGGATTGTTTACTACATAGTTTGGCCTCTGATGATTATATCTGTACTGAACATGTACAGTCATTTTTTCTTGTTATTCTTCTCTAGACAATATAGTACAGCACCTATTTACAAGCATTTACATTGTATTAGGCATTATAAGTCATCTAGAAATAACTTAAAGTGTATAGGAGGTTGAGTATAGAAGGCATGCAAACACTATGCCATTTTATATAAGGGACTTCAGCACCTGTAAATTTTGGTATCGTCTGGAGGTCCTGGAATCAATACTCCATGGATACTAAGGGAAATTATAATTAAAATGTATACATTGCTGTTTAAATCTTGGCACATAGTAGGTACTATACAAATATTTTCTTAAAATATTGTTAGTGGCAAAAGTCCAATTGAAGGATTTCAAAACAACAACAAATATACCTGCATGAAATATACCTGCCCACCATCAACCCTAAGCAAAGTAGATAGAAGGCAATATGAGATAAAGTCAGAAAAAAATTAAAAACAGAAAAGTAAAATTGATAAATATATGGAAATGAAGCACACACATGCAAGCATACAATCCTCTGGTAAGTGATGAATGGGTACATACATTAAACTACAACTATCAACTCAAGTTTCCCAAAACTAAGTCTGGAAATCACAATGGTTAGAGGTGGGCCCAGTGCAGCCAGGAGCTGATGGAGTCTTGGCTGGCAGAGGCTCATGTCGGCAGCATGCAGTTTTCTCTTCATGGAGTGGTTTCCATCTCTCCCAGCCTGGGTCTCAGCCATCTGGTTCCAGCTGTGCTGCCCCAGGCAGAAGCTTGTTTTGTCATCACCTATTCCTCTGTGGGCCTCTAAGAGGAGCCTTGGCAGCCTCCCTGCTGAGAGATCTGATCAGACCTTCTCCTTCCTTCTTCAACAAGGCCCAGACACCCAGCCTCTAAGCCAGCTTCTGGCCTACCAGCCCCAGGCAACCCACTGTTCAGCCCAAGTCTTGAGATTTGACTTGAGAAATGAGGGAAGAGGTCCTCCATTCCTTCTGCACTATATTTTCTGAGTGCCCTCTGCACTAAAGACCTAGGGAAACTGCAGCTAATCTATAAGCATGAATTTATGTGGCACCTATGAAATGTTGGACTGCTATGGTAGTATGACTTGGGGCAGAAGAGAAATAATTGACTTTCTACTACTTTCCAAGAGCTCAAAAGAATTAAAAGAAAAAAGATCCAGATAATAGGGCACAACCTAGAATAAGTTAGCAGCACAAACATTAGAGTATTTGCAAAATCAAAGTGCTTGACTCTGCAATGAGTCTCATGAGCAGATAGAGAAGGAAGAGATGGTCCCTACTATGGTTAAGGGTGGACACACTGAGTGGCAAGGCAGGTGAGAGAGATTCCTAGTCCGTAAGATGAATCATCAATTACTAGTACACAGCAGATATTTTTTCTACCCTATGCACTTAGTTACCACATTCATTTAGTTTTTACACTGTCCTGAATGGAAGTGTCACTCTCATGGCCATTTCACAGATGGAGAGAGTGATGCACAAGGAAATAAAAGTTGGTCTAAGATCTCACACTTACCAAGTGGAAGCATGGGACTCAAATCTGTGCTCATTACCACTCTGCTGTGTCGCCAGGTGGGACTGTATTTGAATTTGGAGTCGACCATTTACTACCATAGCAATGTCAGTTTGTTTATCCTTAAAGTGGAGGTAATGATCCTATATTTGTGTGTTTCTGATATCATCTGAGGCTGGATGCTATATAAAGAAAAGAGATTCTTTTTAGATCACAGTTTTGGAGGCTGATAGTTTAAATAAGGCAGTGTCATCAATTCAGCCTTTGATGAGAGCCCCAGGGTTCTATCACAACAGGGAAGATGGCATCATGGTGGGAGCCCAAGCGAGAGGGGAGAACAGGAAGCCAGAGTGACTCAGGGAAGTTTTTAAATAACTCACTAGTGAGAGAACTGACTGGGGTCCCACTGGGCAGCATCTCCCATGAACAAATCACCTTGCCCAAGATTTCACCTCTGAAAGGCTTTACTGGCTCTGCACTGCTACACTCAGGACCAAGCTTCCACCGCACAACGCTTCAGGGGTGGGAGCTCACACACACCATATCCAAACCATAGGAAATACTCACCACATGCGGGTGTGGGGGGCTAAATGAGCAAACAGAGGTGGGCTCTGGTCCAAACATCCTTGGCCATCTTCTCCTCCTCAGTCCTGCTATACCTACCTTTCAGCTTCATCAACAGACACATTAGTTCATATTACAGATGTGGCCAAATAGTTCTAAATGACTAAATTTCTGACTCTAAGGATATTCTCATAAGGCTTCTTCTACCTGGGAAGTCTTTACCTTCTCACTCAGTTTCTAGCAATTGGGAAGCCTCTGATTGCCTGCGTATGCAGCATTTACCTGTGAGACCATATCCAGTTCCTTTCAGTATTAATAGTATTTCTTGCCTCTGTGCTCCTTTGGTCACTTATGTGTGCTGCTCCTGAAAGCCTGGGTCTCAGCTTTGCCATCTGGAAAAAGGGATGAAAACATCCACTCTGAAGGAGCTGTGTAAAGTATGACACCATACAAAGTTCTGGAGGGTTCACAGAACACAGGAAGTAACTAATAAATGATGCCTTTTCCATTTTATTATCATTATTGCTTGATGATGTCTATCTCAAATGATAGTTATAATGGAACATGGCCTATCTCCCCTTCTAGATGAGGGACTAGGACAGAGATACTGTGAATTAATGCTTTGTCCTCCCCAGAATACCCAGCACAGAACCTGAAATTTAATGAATGCTCAGTAAATGTGGAGTGAAGGGGAAAATACTAAGCTAGATGACACACAACCCAGAGGATGGTCCTGATATATCCATGAGTTCATATATTTGCCATGTGCTGGACATCACAGTTTTCATGGCCTCATGCTAGTGCTATATAAAGATCAGAAGAAAAATATCAGAATTCTCTTAGACCCCAGGTTTTCTGGCTGGGCCTAAATGAGATTGTGGAGCCCAGGGTTTATCTGTGGAGCCCAGCAATTCCAGATGCATCAAGACCACCTCAGGAATGGCAAAAATGAAGTACTGCTCTTTGTCTCTTGCCCAGCCAAGGGTCATGCTAGCTGCTCAAAATACAGCATGTGCTAATTTAATACAACATGGAAACGTGATCTAAGGAGGATGTGAAAATGTGGATTATTGAGAAAAAAGAAATGTTGTAGGTAGACACACAGATACAAAAACAAGAAACAATAAGGAAACAAAAAACTGAGTAGAGGACAAGTACTAAAAGTATAGCTGACAAAATATTAGGAAGAAATTACAAATCTAGCATGAAGAAAATGATTATGTGGAGTATGATATTCCATTGAATATAATTATTAATAATCATTTAAAATCAGATTTACAAAGATCTTATAACAAGAAAAATGGTTTTTCTTGTTTTCTGTGAAAAACATGACAGAATATTTCTTATACTCTCTGATTATTTATTAAAACCAAATATAAAGACTGAGATCAAATATATTATATGTTAACAGTTTCTTTCTCTAAATTTTAATTTATGAATGATTTTTTTCTCTTCTCTTTGTTCCTTTTTTTCCAAATTTCTATGAGCAAATGACTTTTGTAGTGGAAAAACAATGCAGTTGTAAATTGTATGACATATGTACCTTAACATAACTGTATGACTTGTTCTAGAAATAAGCAATGATTGCTGGATTTTATTTATATACTTTACTTTTTTATCTCTAATTGATTACCTTTCTTTTTTTCCTAATTTTGATAATTCAGAAAATATCGAACATGCATACATAGCATATTAAGGGATGTGTGTGTGAGTTTCTACCAACCTTCTTTAACATGAGTATTTGATTAGTACATGTGTGAGATATTCATGTGAACTATGTAGGTAGACAATGGATAAGAACATGATTAGGGTGGGCGAGATGGACAGATGGCTGGACTGGTGGTGAATAGGATGAGGCAGACCCCTAGTGTGTACTGGCGAGTTTAGTGTTACATTCCAGACTGAGAGAACAGTATAGTCTGAAGAACACAGCCTCTCTGGAAATGAACTGAGTCTGTGAGGGGGGCAGGACAACAGAGACTATTTGTGAGTTCCTTTTTCGCTCACTCTCCCACAACACACACACACACACACACACAAGCACACACATGCACATGTTACCACACCTTTCTTCCCTCTCCTTCCTGCCTCTTCTCTGACTGGCATACAAGCTGTCCAGCCTCAGGAGCTGCTGCAGTGAAACAGCACCATCCCTGGGTGTGTTGCTGGCTGGAAAAAGCAGTCAGGACTTCGGTGAAATGTTTCTGATAATGACAAAAGACCAAAGTGGTCGAAATAGGGCGTCTTTTTGAGAGGAAAGATCTATTTTTAGACCTGGCTGGGCAGGGCTGTGTCTTGAAAATAGGCATTTATGATTGCATGTAATTCCCTTAATGTGCAAGGAAGTCACTAATTTCATAGAGAAATAAAGATCCTCAGAACCCATATTCCTCTGAACTACACCTCAGCCTTAGCCTGGGGTGATTACTAACTCCTTTGGTGAGAAAATAATCTTATTTTAATTCTCATGAAATAGTTGAATAACTTCCATACAAATGCCAGCTATCAATCTTTATGAGTAAATTATTGCCCTCACTATTAGGGTGTGGTACAGAAAAGGAGACATACTTTAGGAGCTATAAAGCTTCTTGGTTATAATTTTCCTCCTAGGTCATTATGAACATATAAACCCTATTTTTTAAATCCCATTTTTAATAGCTCAGGTGAACAATATGTTGAAAGAATAGAAGACTTCAACATTATGTAAATATGATATTGATAATAGCTGGTCAGCTACTTTTTGGTCCCATTTTAGGAAGAACATGGTGTGTTAATCAGCTTTCCTGAAGATAATCAACTTATAAGAGGAGCGGTTTATTTTGACTCACAGTTTGGGAGGTTCCAGCCTCCTCCATTGGCTCCATTAGCTCCATTAGCCTCCATTAACTTTGGGCCTGTGGCAAGGCAGTATACCATGACCAGAGCTCTTGGTTCAGGAAATCCATATACCTCATGATCTAATGTGAAAGAAGAAACTGGGATCCCAATCCCCTTGGAGAGTGTGGCCTCTAATAACAACAAGACTTCTCAGTAGTTCTCACCTCTTAGAGGTCCCTCCATCTCTGAACAGCACCAAATTGAGCATTAAGCCTTTAACTCGACTTTAACTAAGTCTTTGGGAGACTTTCCAGACTCAAGCCATGTCATGTGGCTTTCTGACCTTCCTCCTCCTCCTCTTCTTCTTTCTTTTTTTTCCACTTCT